TTTAGGGTTTAGGGTTTAGGGTTTAGGGTTTAGGGTGCCTTGCTTCCTCTTGCAAAAAAACTTTATCGCTGATTGTTTTCGCTCATTCTCAAGCTGAACAAACAAATCAGCAAAAGTCAAGGGTTATCTTAACGAGCACAAGCACTTTATGTTCCATTAGGGTCGGTCTTATGTTCGGCGTGGTCGCGCGATTCACTGTTTCGCTCGTGAGTCTGCCTAAACAAAAAAAGTGATACCCTAAAGCCTCGACCCCAAACTCTAAACCCTAAACCCTCAACCCTCAACCCTAAACCTAAACCCTAAACCCTACTAGACAAAGACGTTTCCTTTCAAGCTTCGTGACAACCTTGTGGGCAATTCAGGGCTTCTGGGCTTCGCGGGGGGCTCCAGGGTTTAGGGTTTAGGGTTCAGGGTTTAAGGTTTACAGGGTTTTGGCCTCAAGGTCTGTCGTTTTCTGAGTACGTGGTGATTCAACGGCTAGGTTGCTCATAGCGGCACTGGTATCTTGGATGCCTGGTTACATGACAGGCGTTAACGATCAAGAGGTCGAAACCCTGAAGCCCCAAAACCCTAAACCCAAAACCCTAAACCCTAAACCCTGAATCCCAAGGAGCCTCAAGACCGAATTCTCCTGGACATCTCCCTTAACAAGCCCTAGACCTAAGAGACCCTCAACCCTCGACCCCACAACCCAAGAAGCCCCAAGACTTGGGATGTTCCCCCTTACACGAAGAGTCTTTAGTAGGGATCATAGGACCCCCCTATTTTGTAGTCCCTATTAAGGACTTGCTAGTGTAAGTGGGAACATCCCAACCGAAGACCCAAGAACCACAAAAGCCACAGAGGTGCGTCCCAGACAGGAAAGCTGCCGATTTCTTGGCGAGTAGCAAGCTTGGCATAGGCCGGAAGCTGCATTTGTTTCTGGTTTCCAGGGTTCAGGGTTCAGGGTTTAGGGTTTAGGGTTTAGGGTTCTTAAGGGGGGGACTAACCTAAGGCGGGAGTCCCAATACCACGCTCTCTCTCTCTCTCTTTGTTTACTTCTTTCTCTGTCCTTTTTTTTCGTTCTGCTTTCTTTCATTCTTATGTTATTTCTTGATGTCGCTCCTGTATTTCTGTACTTTTTTTCGAGGGGCCAGATCGTCAGTTCGCTCGCCCCGGCTCCGTCTCTCTCTCCATCGCGCTCCTCGGGGGAACTTTCTAAAGGGGTAGCTTCAAAGGCATTCCTGGCAGCCGGGAGTGCAGCCCAAACGTCGGGTTCAGGGTTTGGGGTGAGCGTTTGGGGTTTACAACCGTATAGACTCCATCCGGACACCTCAATTATAGGGTCCTTAAGGGTGGGGGGGGGGGGGATGTAACCCAACATTCCCCCACTACTCTGTAAGGCTCTCTAAGCGTCGCTAAGGTTCCCCAGGTACCTACCCCCCCATAACCCCCTCCGGGGATGGCTGAAGTGACTGAAGTGAGGGTGTAGGGTTCAATTGAATTGAACCCTAAACCCTGAGCCCTAAACTCTATAGCCTAAACCCTAAACCCCAGCCTCTTACGCTCCCAAAGCTGGACGATCCCATCGGAGGTTCATGGTTGTTTACAGTCACAAGTAGAGAGAAAAGGACGAAAAATATACTTCTAACCCCTACTTATATCTAATAAAACCTAAGCCTCCAACACCAAAGCCTGAAGGTTCTAAACCCCACACTAAACCCTATATGCCGCAAGCCCTAAGCCCTATACCCGAAACCCGAAACCCTAAACCCTAAAACCTAAACTCTAAACCCTAAACCCTAAACCCCAAACCCTAAACCCTAAACCCTAAACCCTAAACCCTAACCCCAATCCCTGCATTTTTCTAAAGGATGACAGGGTCACCAACAAACCTGTGCAGGGCCTAAGTGCGTTCGAGCTTGGCCCTCCCCTGTTTGGACCATCGTTTAAGGGGCAGTTTAGGGTTTAGGGTTTAGGGTTTCGGGTTTCGGGTTGGGAGGGAAGGGACCCGTAATCTGATTCCCCTAAATAACCCCCCATATACACCATTTTTTCCGTCCCTATATACCTAAGCAGCCCCCAGATATGCCCCCGAAATAGCCCCTAAGGTCCCTTATAAGGGTCCCTCCTTTAGTGCCTTGATCTTAGGCAGGCGAGCTAAGCTGGAATCTAGGTGAGTGGTTCAGGGGTTACTCAGGGCTCTGGTTTTTCGGTTCGGGGGGGGATGTCTTTGACTTACATCGGTGCAAGGCAAGGAGGCTGTTCGCAGTTGCTCAGTTTCGCTTTTTTTCCTGGAGGTCGCCGGAGTGGCGCCAAAGTATCCGTCGCAGACACGCCCCCCGGATGGAGATTTGGGGTTTAGGGTTTAGGGTTTAGGGTTTAGGGTTTAGGGTTTAGGGCTTCAGGGTTTAGGGTTTAGAGTTAGGGTTTAGGGTTAGGGTTTAGGGCGCGCAGATGCGTTTTTTCTCGAACTGGGGGAGGGCCCTTGTAAGTGAGATTCGACTTGTGGGGAAGCTCCCCGACAGCGAGGCCAAGAGATCCGCAACAGCACATCAAGGCTACCCTTATAAGGGACCTTAAAGGTTGTTTAGGGGTTATTTGGGGGCTGCTTAGGTATATAGGGTCTGTATAGACAGGTATATATATATATATGGGGGCTAGAAGTGGAATAAGGTTAAGGGTCAATCCTAGGCGTCCCTCCTTCTGCCCCTTCATACCTTGTACACGCCGCCTTTGCGGTGCTGTCCTTCTGGGGTCCTTAAGGGAGAGGGGTTCAATCGGGGAATACTCCCCACTACCCCTTAAGGCTCCCTAAGCTTCCTTAAGATTCCCTGGGTGCCTACCCCCATGAACCCCCCTGCCTGAAGGACCGTATAGAAGGTGTGTCTTGAGGCAGGCCCACGAGTGCTCAGAAGTTTTGGGGTTCAGGGCTTAGGGTTTAGGGGGTCTTTATACTGTAGTCCATGGTCAAGGAGACCCCCCCACCCCCCACCCCCAGAATATGCTACTTGGGTCGCTTCATCTATATTCCCAATCTAGCACATCATCTCGATCACCCGAAACCCTAAACCCTAAGCCCCCCCCCCCAGCCACCCACCCACACACTTCAGGACCAAGTGGGGCCCTACCCTGCTGGAGTTCCGGGGCACGCCGATGGCGAACGCCATTGCGAACCTTGAAGCACGAAAGCCCCAAAATCCTGAGCCCCCAAACCCCCAACCCGGCAAATAACCCAAACAACCCCCAAACAACCCCCAAAAAACAACCCCCAAAAAACAACCCCCAAAAAACAACCCCCAAAAAACAACCCCCAAAAAACAACCCCCAAAAAACAACCCCAAACCCCGAAGGTCTGAGCTAAAAAGCCTAAGTGTTTCAAGAGAGAGAGAGAGAGAGAGAGAGAGAGCTGGGGATTTGAGGTGTTGAGGCATCCAAAGTCAGGCAGGGCATGAACGTTGGACTTGCCCAAAAAAATATGGGTTGCGAGTTTTGGGTTAGGTTTAGGGTTTTCGGGTCTAGGGTTTAGGGTTCAGGGTTTAGGGTTTAGGGAAGTTCTTTTCCTCTCCCGGGATGATCCCTGGATGATCACAGTATAAACTTCACCCCCCCCCCCCCCCCTCCCCCCCCCTCCCCCCCCCCCCCAAAAAAAACGCCATTCCAGTCAAAACGCCCCTCCACCCCTAACAGTAGACTTGACACCCCTGAGCCCGAAAAAAATTCTAAACCTTAAACCCCAAACCCTAAACCCCAGAGATGCCAGAGAATCGGAGCAGGACCGCTCTTCAGTTGTCTGGTTTCCGCTTAACATGCTTCTTCCTCCTGAATAGGGTTTATTAGGGTTTAGGGCTTCGGGCTTCGGCACCCCTTAAAAAAGGTGAGAAAATGAGGAGAGAAGGTGCCTAAACCCCTAATTCCCCACAAAGAGCTAGTACGCTGACTTGCCATGAATGCCCAAGGAGCTACTTGGTCCAAGAGGCCTGGCCCGGTTTAGGGTCGGGTCTATGTCTGGCGTTTGTGACCATGCAAAACTCTAGGGTTTAGGGTTTAGGGTTTAGGGTTTAGGGTTTAGGGTTTAGGGTTAGGGTCTAGGGCCACCACCAGCGCTACAAAAGCCCCTAAACACTCCAAGCGGTGCGCTGTAAGTAAGTCCTGAGACGTGCTCGAGACTCGACAGGGCCTCCAAACCCGTTGCGCCCCAAACACCCGAAAAACGAACCCCCCAAAAAAGCGCATGTAGTTCGCTTCCCTGCGATACCCAGTGTGCAGAAGGTGACCCTAAACCCTAAGCCCTAAATCCTAAACCCTCAAAAAACCTTATTGAGAGGAAGCTGGCCCTGGCTGTGGCCAGTTCTTTAGGTTTAGGGTTTAGGGTTTAGGGTTTAGGGTTTCGGGTTTCGGGTTTAGTATTCGAATCCCACGCACGTGGTTGCGCTGCGTGCGAGGCGCTTTGGATGTCTGGATGCTTCGCGACCTGACGAGAAGCGCTCCGAGTAAAAAGCGCACCGCAGTCCGATGTGAGGGTTTAGGGTTTAGGGTTGAGGGTTGAGGGTTTAGGGTTTAGGGTTTCGGGTTTCGGGTTTAGGGTTTAGGATGACTTGGATGTGTAGTACGTACCCTTTCTTTTCCCTTTTTGTTTTGGGTGCTGTTTAGGTAGCCACATGAGGTTCCCTTCTAAACCCCCCTTTAAGCAAAAAAATAGGGGCACGCTTTTCAATCCTAGGTTTCCGGGCAACCTAGATTAAAGAATGAGGCAAGTTGTTCCACAGAGAGGCACTTGGAGGTTCATGGTACTTATTAACCGTCTATTCTTGTAACCCACCTTAAGTGCCCTAGAATGGTTATAAGTACAGTTACCCCAAACCCTAAACCCTAAACCCTAAACCCTAAACCCTAAACCCTAAACCCTAAACCCTAAACCCTAAACCCTAAACCCTAAACCCTAAACCCTAAACCCTAAACCCCAACTAAGTACCATGAACCACCAAGCATGAGTCGCCCCTGGCACCTTCTGGCACCAGGCGCTCGCGAGATGACGGAGCCTGTGTCCCAGCCAGTGGCGGATCGAATCGACGGCGGTTTAGGGTTTAGGGTTTAGGGTTTAGGGTTTAGGGTTTAGGGTTTAGGGTTTACAGTTCCCTAAACAAAAAGTTCTGGTACTAATAAACAGGACCCTCAACAAGACCCGAAACCCCTCAAGGGGGGTTCTGCGAAATGCCCAAAGACAAAACGCAATCAACATGGGTATGAAGATCACGGAATAGAAGGAGTGGAACTCATAAAGGTGTCTCCGACAATAGGGGTACCCGTTTTTGGGGTCCCTTTAAGTTTTTTTTTTTAATTTGGGGTATACAAGGGGGTAAGTTTAGGGTTTTGGGTTTCGGGTAGAACTCGTAATGTACTTGGCGACAAGATAGACATGGTGACTTCTCTAAGTTAGGGCCCTTTTTTTGTTACTATTTTAAGGCGGGCCCTTCTTATTTAGGGTACCCCCCCAAAAAAAGGACCCTAATTTAGAGAACTACCCACATGTGTGTAGGGTTTAGGGTTTAGGGTTTAGGGTTTAGGGTTTAGGGTTTAGGGTTTAGGGTTTAGGGTTTAGGGTTTAGGGTTTAGGGTTTAGGGTTTAGGGTTTAGGGTTTAGGGTTTAGGGTTTAGGGGGTTTAGGGTCTAGGGTCGAGGGTCTAGGGTCTAGGGTCTAGGGTTTAGGGTACAGCCCATATGTACTTTGCGACAAGACAGACATGTGTGTGAAGAAGGTCCGGCGAGACATGGAGCTGCTAGAGGAGAAGCTCATGCGGCAAGTGCTGCGCCTTCAGGACCACATGACTTGTCTGCTTGTGCCATGTGCGAATCACCCTAAACCCTAAACCCTAAACCCTAAACCCAAAACCCCAAACCCTAAACCCTAAACCCTAAACCCTAAACCCTAAACCCTAAAGCCCCAAACCCAATGTGTTTTAGAAACTTTCGGGTAAACCGCGAACCAGGAGCAGAGTGAACGCTTCATGGACATCATGATGCACCCCCTTGAGGCGAAGGCGCAGCCCTTAGGGTTTAGGGTTTAGGGTTTAGGGTTTAGGGTCTTCGGGGTATCTTGGGGCTGCCTCTGCTAATGATATTCTTAATCAGAGCAAGAATGATAGGTTCGAGCCGTACTAGCAAGACTGGCAAAAGAGTCATCATCCTTAGCAGTAGAGGAGGTAGGCGTTAACCCTTTTTGGGGTAGTAGAATCCCCTTAAAATCCCAAAGGTTAACCTTTAGTTCCGCTAGGTACTGGGCAACGAAGCATCAGAAGGCCACGCGTAATGTACGACAATATCGAGAATGATGGTGCAGATGGCTGCGCTAATGGCAATGGCAACGAGAATGGTATTGATGAGAATGCCAGATGCTACATGGACAGGTTGGTTGGTGTTCGAGGGGTTCAGGTTCTTTGGCTCGGGCCAGGAATGGCCATTTTTTTAAAACTGCTCAGAGATTGGATCCTGTCTTTTCCCGTCCTGCATTACCTTAAGCCCGAGCACCCATCAACCCAAAACCCTAAACCCTAAGCCCAAGGGGCCCTACGCCCCGAAAGATGTTCCACCATCGCAACCCAGACCCTTGGGAGGATCCGAAAAATAGATCTTAAGGGTTCCTAAGAATGACCCCACAGTAGTAGACTAACAATTGCTTAAGAACCCCGAAAAAGTAAAAATATTCTTCCTTATTAAGGGTAATATAGGGATTGTTCTGTTCTGTTTTATTCTTTTGGGTTCTTCAGTAGAGGGTACTGTTTGGGGGTAAACCCTAAACCCTAAACCCTAAACCCTAAACCCTAAACCCTAAACCCTAAACCCTGAAGCAGGGGTCTGGGAATGTTCCCCCAGGTTGCAGCCATGGAGGGGCGTCAGCCGGTCACGGATTGCAGCATCGCTGAGCCGGGCGCTCCAACGGTTTAGGGTTTAGGGTTTAGGGTTTAGGGTTTAGGGTTTAGGGTTTAGGGTTTAGGGTTTAGCGCAGCATCGCTGAGCCGGGTGCTCCAGTTGGAGGAGGTTCAGGGTTTATAGGGTTCATAGGGCTTATAGGGTTTATAGGGTTTGTAGGGTTTATAGGATTCACAGGGTTTAATTATAGGGTTTATAGGGTTTATAGGGTTTATAGGGTGTATAGGGTGTATAGGGTTCATAGGGCTTAAAGGGCTTAGAGGGTTCAGAGGGCTTGTAATGGGGTTCATGGGGTTCATAGGGTTTATGGGGTTCATAGCGTTTCAGAGATGCAGTTTGAGAGCTTGAGCATGTTGGGAATCCGGCGTTGAGTTTCGTGGCGCACAGCGCACTGCTCTTCTTGCAGGAAGTCTTGTTGGGCTCTCATTCAGCGACTGAAAGAAACGGGACGGCACATGGTTTTCACAATTTTCTGGTTAGAACTGCCTCAGGAGTGGGTTTTGGAGACGGATCATCCAGGACAGCCGTAAACGCAAGACCCTAAACCCTAAACCCTAAACCCTGAACCCGAAAGTGCAAAAGTGCAGATACAGAGTACAGAGCCATGTGTGCAACCGGTGCCTTCGAATCCTAGAGAACTGGAGTTTAGCAAGGACTCCCCAGAAGCTCCAAAGACCCAAAGAGTTTAGGGTTTAGGGTTTGGGGTTTAGGGGTTTAGGGGTTTAGGGGTTTAGGGGTTTAGGGGTTTAGGGGTTTAGGGGTTTAGGGGTCTAGGGGTTTAGGGGTTTAGGGGTTTAGGGGTGTAGGGGTTTAGGGGTCTAGGGGTTTAGGGGTTCAGGGGTTTAGGGTTCAAAGCCCCAAAGCCGCCTAAACCCTGAACCCTAAATCCAATCCCAGCCCTCTGCGACACCAGAGGCTTCGCGGCAACCTCCGCGGCCTTCAGGAATCACTGGAGATGCAGGTGGCGGAGTTTGGGGTTAAGGGTTTATCTCCCAAGGGTGCCAAAATCCTTCGAACAGGAAGACCCCCCCCCCCCCCCCCCCCCCAACCAAAAAAAAAAAGAAAGCAAAAAACAAAAAAAAGGTAACCCGACCTTCACAAACGTCCAAAAAGATAGCTGTGATCTGCACCCACTGCAAAGTGAACTCCATTGAGGGTCGAGATTGAAGACCCGAGGTGCCCCATGCTGCAGCAGTCTTAGCATTTGATGTGAGGGATGGGCTTCCCCGGCACGCTAAGCGGCCCTAAGCCGTAGACCCTAAACCCTAAACCCTAAACCCTAAACCCTAAACCCTAAACCCTAAACCCTAAACCCCAAACCCCAAACCCCAAGCCCTAAGCCCTAAACCCTAAACCCTAAACCCTAAACCCTAAACCCTAAACCCTAAACCCTAAACCCTAAACCCTAAACCCTAAACCCTAAACCCTAAACCCTAAACCCTAACAAAGTCCTCTGCCTTTCGGAGATCTTGAGCTGTGCTCTGCAGAAGGTGCGCCGTGCCGAGCAAACGGAGACGCGCCTGTCCAAATGGCGGAGGAGCATCGAGGCGGGAGTGTGTTTAGGGTTTAGGGTTTAGGGTTTAGGGTTGTTTAGGGTTTAGGGTTTAGGGTTTAGGGTTTAGGGTTTAGGGTTTAGGGTTTAGGGTTTAGGGTTTAGGGTTTAGGGTTTAGGGTTTAGGGTTTAGGGCCACATTAGGGGTTGAGACATTTAGGGTTAGGGTTTGCGGTTTAGGGTTTAGGGTTTCGGTTTCGGGTTTCGGGTGTAGCAAAAGAGGCTAGAACAGGGCGTCCGCCACCGTCGGATAGATGGGGGTTTCCGACCTTAGGGGATACCTTATTGCGGTCTTTATGATAAGGGAATCCTACTAATTTGGGTCTATCTTCCCTAAACCCTAAGCCCTATAATATAAACCCTGAACCCTAAACCCGGTTTAGGGTTTAGGGTTTGGGTTTAGGGTTGAGGGGTTGAGTGGTTGAGCCAACGAAGGAGGACCTACAGCAGAAGCACGAGGAGATGAAGCGCAAGTTCACCGAGGACCTGCCCGGCTTCGCCCTGGATTGTGGGTTTAGGGTTTAGGGTTTAGGGTTTAGGGTTTAGGGTTTAGGGTTTAGGGTTGGTAAATTGCCAGACCCTAGATGCTAAAGCGCTTTGTCGTGTCCTCTGTTAGCACCGCTTCGTTGGTGCCTGTAGACCCTGAACCCTAGAACCCTAGAACCCTAGAACCCTAGAACCCTAGAACCCTAGAACCCTAGAACCCTAGAACCCTAGAACCCGAGAACCCGAGAACCCTAGAACCCTAGAACCCTAGAACCCTAGAACCCTAGAACCCTGGAACCCTAGAACCCTAGAACCCTAGAACCCTAAAACCCTAGAGCCCTAGAACCCTAGAACCTTAGAGCCCTAGAACCCTAGAACCCTAGAACCCTAAACCCTAGAACCCTAGAACCCTAGAACCCTAGAACCCTAAAACCCTAGAGCCCTAGAACCCTAGAACCTTAGAGCCCTAGAACCCTAGAACCCTAGAACCCTAAACCCTAGAACCCTAGAACCCTAGAACCCTAGAACCCTAAAACCCTAGAGCCCTAGAACCCTAGAACCTTAGAGCCCTAGAACCCTAGAACCCTAGAACCCTAAACCCTAAACCCTAAACTTCTAGACCCGAGACGCTAAACACTTGGCCAAGTCGGGAGCCAGCCATAGGCCTCAGAGTGGACCTCAAAGACACAGTCCACGACTCCATTCCAGAAATCGAACCAAGATGATAGGGGTTTAGGGTTTAGGGTTTAGGGTTTAGGGTTTAGGGTTTAGGGTTTAGGGTTTAGGGTTTAGGGTTTAGGGTTTAGGGATGCAATTTTCTACAATAGTATGTATAGTATGTATTTGCCACTTCGTATATTCTTCATGTCCTGTACTGTATTTTACGTCCCCTTATCCTATGCCCTAAATCCAAAGCCCAAAGCCCTAAACCCTGACCTGAACCGCAGAAAAGAAGGTTCTCCTTCGCGAGGCAGTTTCGAACTCAGACGTGGTCTCGCGAAACGAGCTTCTGGAATTGGCGAAGCTTCTGAAGCAGGACGGGCCTTTCGGCTTATGCGATTCATCAGTCTGTGTTAGGGTTTAGGTTAGGGTTTAGGGTTCAGGGTTCAGGGTTTAGGGTTTAGGGTTTCGGGTTTAGGGTTTCGGGTTTCGGGTTTAGGGTTTAGGGTTTAGGGTCTGGTGTGGAGGGTTTTCATTGGGGGTTTGCGACTTGCGAGGCTGATGAGATTGTCTCTGCTGTCCTGTGGCGTGCAGAAGTGAGATGCTCCGAATTGAACAACCCTAAACCCTAAACCCTAAACCCTAAACCCTAAACCCTAAACCCTAAACCCTAAACCCTAAACCCTAAACCCTAAACCCTAAACCCTAAACAGGCTGCTCCAGTTCTCAGGAGGCTCTGCGAACCCAGCCTTTGGGGCGATAGATTTCTCGCCGCATCGTGAGGAGTTGAGGAAGGTGGTGGACGAGACGTTGAAGGATGAGAAGTTGGCCACGCAGCAGGCGCCAGACGAGAATGCTTCGTTCGGGGTTTCATGAGTTTATGAGTAGGGCTCAGGGAACTTCATATTTTACTCTACGTTTTACGTTTTTTGTGCTCTGGTGTTTATAGAGCTGCTTACCAGATACAGGCTTGAGAGAGGTCAGGTCTGAAAGGGCTCTTGGGCACTTTGCAGATGTCGTATTAGTTTGACGCATGTCATCTCATCCCCGCCACGTCATGAGAGTTCCTCTTGGGTTGGAGTTTAGGGTTCAGCTTAGAGTTTAGGGTTTGTAGGGAGTACCTGACTACCTGCTGCTCCATGGACAAGTACAGGTGCTCCCACGATACCCAAGTCTTTAGTCTCATGGGTCCCGAAACCCTCCCTAGGTTCCCCCCATAATTAGGGCGATTTAGGGATAACTAAGCCTAATTAAGGCTTCAAAAGGGGCGGACCTAGGGGGGGTAGTATAGGGGTGGGTAGTAGGGAGCACATAAAGGCGCGGGAACTGATTGCAACTGTACTTATCACCCACCTATAAGGCCCTTAAGTGCCCTAGTATGGTTATAAGTACAGCTATAATTGGTTAATACGTACCTCCAAGTAAGTCTTAAGTCGAAAAGAGTGATTCATGACAAAATCTGGTGCCCGGCAGCGGAGGATCTGGCTACCTTGTCCAGCGGGTTGAGACGGGAGCCTTGTCTAAGTGCTTCTGGTTGGAGGGTTCGGGTTTAGAGTTTAGGATTCAGAGTTCAGGGTTCAGGGTTTCGGGTTAGGGGGCATGCTGGATCCCCTGATCTTCGCGAGTGCTCGGCCCCTTTCCAGAAGCTGAGCGTTGTAGAGCCTCTTAACCCCAGCTTATGCATCATGGGCTCCCCTACTACACCGTTCCCCCCGTAATTAAGGTTATTTAGGGAACATGAAGCCTAATTTCAGTTATTTAAGGGGGAACAGGGGGGGGGTTAGTATAGGAGGGGTGGTAGGGGAACCCACGCTAAGCCCAGCTTATGCAGTGTGCCACGCTGTGCACTCAGCTTCAGCTGATCAGACTGAGTACCGAAGGAGCTGCCGGTTTGGGGATACGGCAGTTTTTGGTAGGGTTATAAGTATGGTAGGTGCACTTATATATAGAAGCCTACTTAGGGTACTGTACTTAGAACCCTACTTATAGCTACCCAGGAACCCTCCAAGTAGAGCTTTGGCGAACAGAGGGCTCTGCTCTGTCTTGAAGCCAACCGCGCAGGGACGGAAATGAGAGGGACGCCATAGGCTCTCCCGGGCATATTTTGGAGAGTCACCCTAAACCCTAAACCCTGAACCCTGAACCCTAAGCCCTAAACCCTAAACCCTAAACCCTAAACCCTAAACCCTAAACCCTAAACCCTAAACCCTAAACCCTAAACTTGACTGTAAGCAGATGTCTGTAAGGAGCTGGCGTCCGTCGAGAAGATTGCAGCCCCGCCCTGAGCCGGATCTGCGAGCTTCAGATTGGGGTTTAGGGTTTAGGGCTTAGGGTTTAGGGTTTTGGGTTTTGGGTTTTGGGGCTTGGGGTTTACGGTTTGGGGTGTCGGGTTTCGGGTTTCGGGTTTGGGGTTTGGGGTTTCGGGTTTGGGGTTTAGGGTTTGGGGTTTAAATGTGGTTTGGGGTTTGGGGTTTAGGGTTTGGGGTTTAGGGTTCTGGGTTTGGGGTTTCGAGTTTGTTTTTAGAGTTTAGGGTTTCGGGTTCAGGGTTTAGGGTTTGGGGTTCAGGGGTTAGGGTTTCGGGTTTAGCTACTGTTCTCCCAGGTGTCCGAAGTTGTTGCTTTGGACTGAGTCATGCCGGCACGATTTCGCAGACAAACCAGACAGCTTGGATGACAGAAGCCCTAAACCCCTGAACCCAAACCCTGAACCCTAAACCCTAAACCCTAGACCCTAAACCCTAAACCCTAAAACCTAAACCCTAAAACCTAAACCTTAAACCCTAAACCGAGGCTGGGGCTGCGGCTCAGAAGGCCTTGGGTCAGCAGGCCTCGCGTTTTGTCGCAGTTGCGCCAAGGGGACCAAGTCTACTTGGGGGTTTAGGGTTTAGGGTTTAGGTTTAGGGTTTAGGGTTTAGGGTTTAGGGTTTAGGGTTTAGGGTTTAGGGTTTGGGGTTCAGGGTCGCCCTAAACCCGAAACCCTACATTCGGGGCTCCAAGGGCTCTCGGAGCTTGTGAAGCTGCGACCCAACCCACGCGACTCTCTCCTGTTTCTGATCCTCTTTAGGGTCCTACACCCTAAACCCTAAACCCTAAACGCTAAACCCTAAACCCTAAACCCTAGACCCTAGACCCTAAACCCTAAACCCTAAACCCTAAACCCTAAACCCTAAACCCTGAACCCTGAACCCTTCAGGGTTTCCTGTTTGTGGTTGCTAGTGTCATACGGAGCATGA